AAATCGGCTAGTAATATTGACGGTATATTTGGGCCCTTATTTGTAATTATTTTCGTTTTTTGGGCCCTTATCTGTAAATTCCCCTAAAAAATACTATCGATATGAATCTTATATTTTGCACATCGTGTAAAAGTTTTAAAAAACCAGAGGCTTTTCATGAAAAAAAGACTTTGAATATTTGGAACGTAAAACGGGAAAATGCGATAGATATAGAAAACCTTACAACCATGATTTATGAAACTCTTATTAGTATGGATAATACCGATGAAAGCTTAGAAAATGATTACGGATTTTATTTTGAATCAATAACCAATTTGAGTACGTACTTTAATTAAGAAAATTCCTTTAGAAATTGAGAAAGACCAGCACGAACAATACCTTGCAAATAGAATTGCCAAACTTGTTGAACAAGGAGATGGTTATAATTATGCATCTCGTGTCAAACAATTTCACAAAAAACAAAAATAAAGCACCAAGGCAATCGAGTTAAAGATATTTATTTATCTATTTATTTATAGGTATAATGATACGTATTTTCGTATTATAATCTATTTTTTTATAATTAACTTCTTTTAGGCGATAAAATTTATTGAAAATCATCGAATATTCTTTAGCAGAAAATGCTTAAGTGCGATTGAGGAAAACTTCGATCCAGACAAAAGAATGGTAGAGGTTTGAAAATGCGAAGAAATTAAGAAAAACATGGAATGAACGTAGTTCAAACACCTTCTACTGACAGTAATGTGTATTAAGAATTTGCAATGCTGGTTAGTTATTTATTATAAATGACTTAGATTTATCTTCCATCAAGCCTTATAACAAAATTAATTTTTTACGCCTGTTATTCAACCTTTAAAGAATGTGATTAATTATGCAAATGAGAGCGTACAAAAAGAAGAAAATCAAAAATGAAAAAGGGCAATATGTATAGTTCAGACCGTAATCATTTTATAATAAATGTGAAATTGCAATATTTATTTGCATTTTCAAACAATAATTCATATTCGTTTGGGCGAAATTTTTTTTTTAATCATTAAATGTTCAAATTTATAATGATTTTATCGTTGTAAAAACAAATTATATAATTAAATGCACATGCACAGTTATACGTAGTGTAAAAATAATAGATTCAACTTTGTCGGGTATTCGTCTTCTACTTTGTAAATACGTATACATAAAATTATCGATGTGGGAAATTATACAGTCTGACCTCGTTATAGTCACTCTTGATATAGTCACAACCTCGTTATAATCACACTATTTTTTTGACCGAGCTAATATAAAACATATAAATTTTGACCTTCGTGTAGTCACAACTTTTTATAATCACCAAAATTTTGTTTCCCAGCATGGTGATTATATCGAGGTTAGACTGTATTTTGAACTCAGACCAATTTATATACATGACGTAATAAAAATTTTGGTCTTGATTCCCCGTCCATGTGATAATTGTCAGGATTTGATGTAACGTAAAAAATTCAAAACAAACGTTCGCTTTGCAAAATTCACGATTATCTCAAAACATTTACTAGTAAACTGCCTTTGAATTCTAATTAAAAAAATTCCTCGTGCAATTTTACCGTAAGGTAACTCTTCCTAACCCCGAACCCAAACATAAATAAGTGTTACGGTCAAGGGAGAGACTTTGATACTACGTAGCCAATTTAGCAAAGGACCACAAACATTAAAGAAGGAATAAGGTATTTATTTATTTATGTGAGGCACTAAAAGTAAGCAACTGGTTTCTTTATTAATTCACAAGGTCCAAAGAATACTCCCAGAGTATTACTCAACTAATTCCACTAATCCACTAAACAGAGAGCCAACAAATCTACTAACTACTGAAGTAACTAAAAACTAGAGACTAAGAACTAAAAGACCTAACCGACTAATTACCTTTTCCCTCTTTATATCCCATTTCCCTTTCGACCATTGTTCAACGATTACTAACATCAATGATTACTAAATGACTACATTCCTTATGCGCATGCATTAATTACTATGCTGTCGCCTCTCTTTGCATTACAGATTGTTTACTCATTGCATATTTCCTGCATCTTTACTAGTTACTACATATTATTAACTAATTACATATTTGAAAAATAATAGTTACACAAAGCACATGACTAATTCTGGTACCGTAACAATAAGCCTTTTTGTTCTACCTCGGAAATCACATGACCGGAAAATCGATCTCAATTTTGTTTATAACCTAATCAGAAAAATCGTCATCACCTGATGATGACACAAAAATAAAAATCTAATCTTACCATTACGTACTGTATTCGACAATACAGTACATTCATAAGAGCCAACACATATTATACTGTAAAAAAAAAGACCTAGACACATACCAAATTTGCTCAAGGCATATTACAGTGTTAACATGTCAGAAGAAAAAATTATTTTAAGGATCGGAAAAAAGAAGGTTGTAAAACGCAATAAAAAATTTGTAAATTCGTTTATATATTATTTATATATAAAAATTTTTTCTTGATTTTCATAGTATGAAACTCTTCGATCAACTCTCATCGCTCAGCCTAAAACTTTACTTGGAAAGATATTTCAAGATCGAAATAAGTGTATGAGATATCTGGTTAATGGCAAAGAATACTTTTTTGATCGTAATGGCGAAATGTTTTATTATATATTGGAATTCTATCGAACCGGAAAGCTTTTATGTCCTATCGGATCTTATATAAAACTTGAAAAAGAACTTAGTTACTTTCAAATTCCTTTTGATAAATCAGAGTTAGCTTTAGAAGCTTCTACAAAAGCAGTTGATCGATTCATTTTGTGCCTTAAAAAATTGATCATTAGCTATTGTGAAAATTTTCATGACAATATTATTTTATATATTGCTAAATCGGGCGTTTCCATGCGTACTAAAAATTTTTGTCCATTACTTTTTTCAGATAATCTTATTGAAAGATGTACTTACCAAATTCTGGTTAAACTAGAAAAACAGATTGGAGAACATCTAGTTAAAACTTTTTCCGAATTGGAATTAATGTGGAACTGTGAACCAAATTATTCTGGTTTTCTAATCACTATAACATTTTCGATTAAAAAACTTTTTCAATTCAAAAATACGCAAAATTCCGTCTCATCTCTCATCTTAGATAATATTTCTGAAGAAAAAATTATTTTAAATGTTGGTGGCAAAAAGGTAAAAGGCAAAATAGTAAATCTTTATATATCTTTTACTTATTTTAATATTTAAATCTTTTTAATACTATACACAGTATGAAACTTTTCGATCAATTCTTACTGCTCAGCCAAAGACTCTACTTGGAGTGATGTTTCAAGATCGAAATAATTGCATGAGACATCCAGTTAATGGGAATGAATATTTCTTTGATCGTAATAGTGAAATATTTGCTTATATCATGGAATTTTATCAAACTGGAAAGATTCCATGGTTCATTTTCGACACAACAAAAATCATTTATAAGCAACTTGAAGAAGAACTTGATTACTTTCAAATTCCTATTAATAAGTCAACTATATTTTGTTCGTTGGCTTTAGAAGGTGCTGCAAGCACATTTAAACAATTTATTTTGGCCTTTGAAGAATTGATTATTCAGCATTGTGAAAATTTTAGAAGCGAAATTTCATTAACTATTAGACCTGGATCGATTCTTGTAGATGATCGTGAATCTTCCCTTTCAATTGAACGTTTCAAAATGAATGCTTATAATATCTTAATTGAGAAAGAAAAGCAAATTGGTTATCATTTATCCAAGACTTTTTGCAAACTAGGACTAGAATGGAAATTTGAGAAATCTGAACGAAAACATTACGGCATTGAACAACTATTAGAGATTTTTATTTCTTTTTCAATTAGAATAGGTTGAAAAGATATTCACATTTCATCTTTCATTTACATATTAAACATCGAAAAATTATTAAAGTTTTCATAATTACTTAGATTACTTAAGCATGAGCTTGTTCAATAGCCACGCCGTTTTATATAGGAATGTTTATAATCATATGTCGGCAACAAAGTTTTTTTTTTTGACAAAATTTGGATTCAATAAAATGATTTTTTCCAATGGTGTTCGACACCACAATTTTTATATCTTAAAGCTAACTAAATGATTGATATCTGATATTCTAATCGATGATGTTTTAATGCTTCAATAATCCTTAATTTTTAAAATCTCAGATTCGGATAATTCAATAAAATGCCAACATTTCTTTATCATAAAATATTAGATATTAATACACGGTCGTAAATTAGTAGTTGAAAATATGATTTGGCTTTCTACTCAAAAGGTACAGGTTTACCTTATAAAAATTTCTCACATAATTATAACAAATTAATAAATGTCAGATCCATAAATTCCATTAAATTTTGATTTTAACGCAATTTTCGATCCATTTGTGCTATTGTAAGTAGATTTTTGCGTAAGCATCATCTTGAGGCATATACCAAGATAGGAATAATTATTTGATTTACTGAACTGAATCATTTTAGAAAGTCGGATCTTTAATATACACATTCAATTGAATATTCATGATAATTAATAAGGTTATGTAGTAATTTAAGCACAACGTTCTGCAACAAATTATGGCACTCATCATGCTATCTATACAGTTGCAAATCCACTTTTGCTTATCACTTCAACATCTTTAAATCCATGATAGTTAATATGTATCGATATATAATAATTAATATTGTAATTTGTTGCATAGAGACGTTGGGTGCGCGGTATACTGTGTAAATCCAAACTATATGTGGTAGTTTTTTTTAGATAGTGATCGATAGGTATTAAATTTATATTCCTTTTTTTACTAATGCTGCATCAATTAAATTTCATAATAATAAATGAACGTACGACGTTCTGAAATAGTCTTCATAAGAAAAACATTTTTTATAATAAAAATAAACATTTTCGAAAAAAATAAAATTATTGCCAATAAAATGTATTCGAATTACGCCCATTCCAAGTCTTTCTCGAAGTTTCGGCAGCTTCAAACCCTTCTAGGTCATTTACCATTTTTTTAATGGGGTCCAAGTTTTTTTCAATTGTGTTTAACCATTTTCTTTGTTGAGGAAGAGTTTCCGATTTTTCAATAAACTTTACTGCCTATGAATTAATTTTATTAAAAATATGTAAAAAATATGTATTATATAAATAATTTATATAATAATAATAAATAAATATTACCTTTACTAATATTTCTTTTAATTCAATTGCTTTGTCATTTGTTACTTCAATGTCACTGGTATCCGATTCATATTCATTCATGCTTAAATCTACCTCAGTTTCCTCATAATCACAACATTTCACTTCAGAATTAGCCAATGCAATGAATAAACTATTCTTAATATCTTGTCAAATCATTTATTGGATTTCATAAAAAAATGGATATTTATTGTTGCACTGAATCATATTAAAAAGGAATGATCCATATTTTCTAGTGGTGAAACTAAATGTTTGCAAAGAGCAAACTGATTTTTAAGAAACATAGAGCATAAACAAATATAGTGAGCATGATTAGTAAGATATTTGATCAAATTTTTTATTTTTTTGGCTTGCAAGCCTTTTCTATTCATTTGCAAATCCTTTTGTCAAGATGGTCTAATTCTTTTAGCAATAAAGAAGGTTATAACGATGTATTAGTTTTGGAAGCATTTGATTAGTAATAACATAACTGAGAATATCAAGGCATAGACAATTAAATTTGTATAAAAAATCATGTTTAAGAATTTTCTAATGTGACTCAATAATCATTGTTATGTAAACAATTGAAACATTTTTGTGAGCTGATAGTGACTAAAGGCACCAATGGTCTCACTAATACCATTTTAATCACAGATAACACCATATATAAAATAAGTTATATAATAACAATATTGAAAAATTTTATTAACTGCTTGATACCAAATTTCATTTGAACTTAATACAAACTCTTATCTATAGTAGAAATAAGCATATAAGAATAAAAGTGCATATAAATATATTCTAATATTTTTTTTTGCAATGATGTCTTTAAAAAACTTTTTTAAAGCTTAAATTACTACCTTGGGTTGGTTACCAGATAGAGCATTGTTGATATATATTAATGGTATTATAATTTTTGCTTAATTGCATATTTTAAGTGTCACTTGTGAAGTTGAATTTTTATATTCTTCCAAATAACCATTCTACTACTAATCCAAATAAAATCCTTATCAAAAAAGATTGTTTTTACTTCATTAAATTTACTTTTATATAAAATTTTAAACTATAAGGTTATAGCTACACAAATATTATACACTTTTTCAGATTCAATAAACAATATGAAATAGAAAATTCAGTTTTATCTACTATTGTCATTATTAAATAAAGTTTATACTTTAATTAATTAGTGTTGTATGTGGTATAACCATAATTGTTTCAAATGCTTCATGTAGTAGTTTATTAAAAAAACTTGTTAAAAAACCAAATATATGTGCTAATTAATTTAAATCAAGTACAATCTTAAATTCTTTTTCATATAAGAGCAATTTTGCTAATTGATATTGATCTTTATACTGTTAATAATATTTTGATGCTTCATATACTTGTCTAAAGATAAGATACCTTATTTCACGATATGACTTACATTATAACTTACAATGTAAATATATAAATTCAATATAAATTACAAATATATAGATTTAATACTACTAAAATTATGATAAACTTAGCCAGCATTAAAACAAAATTTTTAATAATATAAAGGTACAGTTTTTCTAAGTTAGACAATCAATAAACACAAATTATGAGCAATATCAAGCTATTTGTTTTCAATATCTGAATTATTCTAAAGTATGATAATTAATAAAAAAAGTTTACCTTATATAACTTACATTACTTAAATTTAAACTTATATCAGTTAAAATAATTGATATAAATTATTCATCTCAATACTTATTAGAAATAAATCTGATCAACTATTAAGGTTTCAAATCTATCAAGTTTTTTTAGATATAAATAATTTTATAGTGTAACTCTAATGCTCTAAATACTAAATTCTCATATATACAAGTGATAGAAGAAAAGAGGTAAGAGAAAGTTCTTTTAAATAATATATTATTTAACTTGTTCTGATACTGAGACATGCTTTGGTTATTAATAAAGATATTTGTGGTTAAGTTTAATATTTTTATAATTATTTACCAGATCAATTGCGATTAAAAGAAGGTCTTTACATATATATCGAATTAAATATGATTCTTTTTTTGGTATTAAGGTGAGGCCTTGTCCATATCTTTATTAATAATTTTATTGGGTAATAGTAACCAGAATATTACTATAATTTATATGAATACAAATAAAAAATAAATTATACAGCAAGAATAAAAGCTTAGACTAATTTATCTGCAATCTAAATCTATTAGAGTAGTTATAAGCTTACCTAAATTATAAAAGAAGAAATAAAATTAAGTGAAGTACTATATTTAACCCAATATACAAACTAAAAGTTATATTTTCTTCTAGCCTGGCCAATAGAAGGACAGGAATTAGAGTGAATATATAATTGATCTAGTTTTTTACATATACAAGAATAAGTATATATAGTATGAATATATTGAACAGTAGTAGTAGATTGTAATAAGTCAGGTAAATCAGGTTGTTGTTCAGAAATAGATGATTGAAATTCCTACTACTATTTTTATACAACCTCTGTACTTCAATACACTATTTAGTACTATGTGTAACTTCTCTGTTACACCAGCCACACCAGCCACACTAGCCATACTTTCGTATTATTAAATACTAATTTGGGTTACACAGGATTACACAAGATTATACAAGCCACATCAGTCACAGCTATAATATAACAACCCCTGTCTATATCTACCCTTGTGATAATGCTCTGCTACAATTGCAATATTACAAGTTTTTCTATCAATATATCTAGAAATTTTACTAAATCAATCTATTTTGTGCTCTTAAGCAAAATTTAACAACAAGATGCCTACT